CCTGGGCTACATGAAACCCTTTCTCAAAAAATAATCCAAGTCAAGATGGGCATGGTGGTGCATGCCTTTAATCCCAGAATTTGGGAGGTAGATGTAGGTGGATATCTGTGATTTCCAGGCCAGTCAGAGATCCATAGTGAGACATGTCTCAAAACAAAACAGCTAAGTCAGGCATGGTAATTCTAGCACTGAGGAGGCTGAGCCTGGAGAATTGCTCCAAGTACAAGGTCATTCTAGGTTACATAATGAGTTTGCGGCCACCCTGAGCTACAGCGTAAGGCCCTGACTCAAAAATACAACACCACTGTGAGTTCAAGGCCAGCCTGATTTACAGAGCAGGTTCCAAGACAGCCAAAGCTACACAGATAACCATGTCTTAAAAAAAAAAAAACCACCACCACCGTCAGCACCACCACCAACCACAACACACAGTCCTAGCTCTTAGGCATTTGTTCAACAAGAGAGCAGCCCAGACGCCAGGCCCGATTGGCCTAGGGTTGCTATCACAGGGGGCACCGGGCACCCACAGGAACCAGGCTCTGGATGTTGACAAAGATGAACCAGGCCCTCCTGGCAGGGTGTCTCTCTTGGCATAGGACACAGGACGAGGCAGAAAACTTGCAAATGACAGCTGTCAAAGTTGGGCCAGCCTATCTGTCAACTGTGTTCCCTAATAAAACACTAGGGGAGTAGTCCTCCCTTAGCGTTAGTCCCTGGTACTGTCGAGGGTTCCTTTTGCCTTAATAAATCTTTTACATAAACCTAAGAACAACAAAAGGCAGGAAGGGCAGCGAGATGGCTCAGTAGGTAAAGGCACTTGCTGCCAAACCTAAAACCTAAGTTCTCTTTCCAAACCCTTCTCCTGAGAGTAATCCTCTGACCTCCACATGTGCACTGTGGCACTCATGTGCACAAAACCATGAGTGTGCACTCGAGTGCTCAGACTCAGACACACACACACACACCACAGAGAAATATAACAGAAGAAGAAAAAAATACTACAGGCAATGGGAACCAGTCTAGGAAAGGCAGAAGGACTACTGCCTGGGGTACATTTTTTTCCCTTCATAGAAGGCTAAAGTAGTCTCTATTCCCTTCCCCCATGAAGTTTCATGAAGCCCTGGCTGGATTTGAACTCATGATCTTCCTACCTCCACCTCCCAAGTATTGTAAGTACAGATGTACACCATCATCCCCAACTTATATGTGCTGGGGATTGAACCAGGGCCTCCAGTCAAGCCAGGCAAGTGCTCCACACTTAACTGTAGCTCCAGGTCCATTAAAGTATTGTTTGTTCACTCAGTGTTGTGTGTGTGTGCCAGGAACCAAATAGAGAGCCCCCTCACATGCTAGGCAAGTGCTTTACCACTCCTTACATCCCAGCCCTAGGCAGTGATTCCACTCGGAAACCAGAAACTGCATTTTTTTCCTCTCTAGCAGTAATAAAATATCCTTTAGCACAAAACTATTACATACAACTTGGGAGACTGTCGAACTGCACTTAGCTTATGACTCTGGACCATAGAGGAGGGGGCAGCTGCATACCTGGGCAGTTTCTCCAGGCGTCCTTCCAGAATCTCAACATGCCCAGCTGTTGGTACACACAGAACATCCCCTTCCTGGACCACCCTGCAACACATCAGTGGCCTCAGTCAGCTCACACTGGAAGTGTCAGGAAGTGTGTCATACTGACACAGCTGGGCTGTAAGACCCACAGCTTCCAATTTTTAGGGAACAATTAAGACTTAGATTGTTGGGAAAAGGATGGTGAGGCTGGAGATGGGAGCATCCCTGGCTCTTTTGGAGTGCTTTTTGACCAAACAGTCCTTTTCTTCTTAGAATGCTCAAATCACCTTCCAAGGCTCCCTGCCACAATACTGACTATCATGCAGTTCCTAAGCCAGTAGCCCTGGGGTACCCGGACCTGAGGCATGGGCTGGACAAGGATGGAGAGGGACAAGGTGAGGTGTTCTTGTCCTTAAAAGGAGTAGGCAGCTGACCTGGGTGTGTGAAAGTGCCGGTAAAGAACATGGTCATAGTTTCCATTAGAGCTGTAGTGTGGTGAGGACACAATTTCAATGTGTAACTCTCTGGCAAACGGAGGCTCAGACAGCAGTGAAGAGCTTCTTTGGTCTTCATGGGTGATGGAGTCTTCCAGATACCTCTAACGGAGAAACAATCATCACCTTACAACCTCCAAGGAGACAGGTTTTACCCTCTTAGCAGCCATTGTCTACATCTGCCTTTTGTCTTTACAATATCAAGGCTAGCAGCCTGAGGTAGCCAAACTGTGTATCTCTGTCGCCCTTAGAAAACCAAAAACTCTCCTTCTAATGTGTACTAAGAAGCCATGTCAACTCTTTGTGACCCTGGTTCCAGAAAGCTGTGTGTAAAGAGAATCTTCCTGGACCTTTCTTTGAAACCTGTTACTTAGCCCAAAGCCAGTAAGGGGCAAAGAAATGTATTTTTGAGCCGGGCAGTGGTGGTGCATGCCTTTAATCCCAGCACTCGGGAGGAAGAGCCAGGCGGATCTCTGTGAGTCCGAGGCCAGCCTGGTCTACAGGGTGAGATCCAGGACAGGCACCAAAACTACACAGAGAAACCTTGTCTCGAAAAACCAAATTAAAAAAAAAATGTATTTTTGTAAGTCCTGTTTTTGAGACAGGGTTTCATGTAGCCCAGACTGGTCCCTATGTTGGTGTGAGTGCTCTTGAATTCTTGATCCTTCTGTTTCCACCTCCCAAGTGTTGGGATTACAGGCAAACACCATTATGCCCTGCCCCTACAAACTCTGAGTGACACTAGGCAGCTACTAGAATTGACGCCAAGTGGTCTTTTGTGAAGACACCGAATTCTGGCCGTGAGAAAAGGATATGGTTTTGTTGTCTCTTTCTAGAGCTCAGGTTGATCATCAACTCAGCAATTCTCCTGCCTCAGCTTCTCAAGTTCTAGGACTACAGATAGGAGCTACCACAGCCAGCTTCAGATATAGCCTAGCCAAGCTAAAAGGGCTGCTTCAACCGAATGAGCTCCAATACACCAGTTTCCTTCAGTCGGAAGAAACCCATTCCCACTGTTACTCACATATGGACGTCTGAGTGGACTTGTTTGCTTAGTGTGGTTTGAGGGCTAGGGCTGGATCCAGGGCTTCTCGGGCTAGTCAAGTGCTCTTTCACCGAGTCACATACCAGCTCCATCGCACAGTATTAACTGGTCACTCACCTAACAAGTTTCTACACTGATGGACATGTTTTTACATATGACCACTGGGCACCTGGGGGGTTAAATCAATGCAAGAGCTGGTGTTGTTCTAGCTAGTTAATTTCAAGTACACTTATATGCTTAAAAACTAAACTGCATTGTGGCCCCCCAGCACAACTGTATTTTTTTGAAGTAAAGGCAGAAACCAAAACACTTCAAGAATGTCTCTTAAATGTATTTAATAAGATATTAAATACCAGGCACCAAAGATAACAAAGAGGCCTTTCAAGGAATTTACAATATATGATTGAGGATTAGACAGATTATATAATCATAAAAAGAATAAGGTAAATATCCTAACGAAGACTCAAAAGGCTGGAGGAGGGGAAATGGTGTTAAAGTTATGGTATTGAGATCATAAAAGGATTTAAGGAGTTTTCATTTTTAGGTAGGCCTTGAAGTAAAGGATGGTAGACTTTTATCAGAAAAAAAGTTAGAATAGGAAGTCAATGAAAAGCGAAAGGTACCAAGACATCATTCTGATGTAGCACCCAAGTTACTGATTAGCATAAGAGTACGCACATCTGGTACTTGACAGTGAACCTCACCTTTCACCTCAACACATGAGCTCTTCCCATGCACCACTATGGAGACAGTCTCATAATGGAGACTGGGTAAACAAGGCTAAGAGACCTGAAGTGCAAAATCTAAGGCTGTAAGGGACAGGGGGACCGAAATTCTACAGCTAGCCTTCCAATTCAGTTAAGAGAGAGAAGAGGGCAGAAGGAAAAGCAGCATTCCTGACCTGAATTCTGAGCTCTCCCACTTCCAGGGGGTCACAGCCGAGATTAAAAGCCAGAGTAGCAGGCACAAACACCAGTCCGTCAGCGAGCGGCTCTCCCAGCTGCCCAGAGCTGGGTCCCAGTCTCTCGGACAGGTCCCAGCGAGGTTCTAGGACCTGTACTTTAGCCAAGTGCGGCTGGGAGGTGTTTGGTAACTCTCCGACCCGGGTCACCCATACCCATTCGCCCTGGAAGAGCCCGAGACCCCGGAGACAGCTCCGGGTCACACCCAGTGTATCTCCAGCCCCTCCCAAAACTCCTTTAAGTTGCCGGACCGCGTGGGAAACAGCAAAGGAGGATACCACGGGCGGGGGTGGGGGGTGGCTGTGGTCCCTACTCTCCGGGCCCAGTTTGGCCCGCCCGCGGAGCTCAGTTACAGCCAGCCGCGTCCCTGGGCCCAGCAGCCCTTGCAAGGCCGGCCGCGTCTCCAGCACTCGCGAACCAGGCACGGGCAGGATCTCCCCGCGGCGGACCAGCAGCGGCCCGACTCGAGGCCCAAGCCCAGGCCCGGGAGACGTGCCAAGCAGCGCCCAGCCCAGCGCCGGAGGCCGCCGCACAGGCCGCGCTCGCACTCGCTCCCCGGGGCCTAGCGCCAGGAGCCGCAGCAACGCGCGGCTCACCAGCAGCTGCGGAGGCCCGGGCCCTCGCTGCTCGTTCTGGGAGCCCGGCCCTTCTAGAGCCGCAACGAGCAGCGCGGGCCCCGCAGGGCTTTCGCTCGCCGGCCGCAGCGCCAGCACTAGGCCCAGCCCTGTCGCAGGCCACGGGCCCCCGGGCGGCAGCAACACCGCCAGCGGCGGCGTCTCAGTCGGGAAGGGTTCCAGGACGCGCAAGACAGCCAGCGCCATGGCCACTGAGCCCAGAGCACCTCCACTTCCGGAACTAGCGACCGGAAATCTCCCGGGGGCGAGAGGCGTTTCCGCTTCCGGCGCGGAGGTGGGCGGGGCGCCGGTGGCCGAGCCGGCCGCTGGGAAGAGGTACTGCGCGCGGGCTGGCTCGGCCGCCGCCTCCGTCATCGCCGACGCATGCGCCCTTTGAATCTGCGTGTGGGAGCATTTACCTTTGCATTTCGGTAGGGGAAATAACGCCCTCCCAGTTGTCATGCCCCGTCCCACGTACTCAATATTTTACTGATCAAGAGCGATTGGTGGGAAAAGTGGCAGGAGTCCATCTTTTCCTGAGGAAATCTTAGTCTGTCCCGCTCAGCCGTAGGCACTGAGGCTGGAGGGCTGCGGAGAGGGTTGTAAGAGGGCGTGGTAGGATTATAAAACTGTCCCAGACACGCGTCGATGTGTGTAGTTAAGCCGTGGCTGCTGGCTGAGTACCGCACGTGATTCACGAAGCCCCGCAGTCTGTTGCTCGCCACCCCTGCCCCACACGCCCCGCACAAAGCCCGAGTTCCAGCGTCCTGGGTCCTTCGTGGTCACTGAACTCCCACCCAACTTTAAGATGGGGCAGTTTAGGTCCTTCCCTCACACCCGGTGCTCTGTCCTGATCGTCCTCCTCGGAGACCCGTTCTCCGTTTCTGCCCTAGAGGCGGGAAGGCGGCAGAGCAGGCAGAGGAAAGGGTTGGAGGCTTGTGTGATGGGAACTGAGCCAACAGCCTGTGCAATGTGTTACCAAGATTTCATCTCCGTCTCTGCTGCTCTATCACATTCAGTGAGAGATCACATTTCCAATTAACAGTTGCTGGGGTTTCGATTCCTTACACTTAACCCATGTTTTGGATGGTGGCTATTGCCTTTTTCTGAATCTTGTGTTTTTCTTCCCGCCGCCGTCCGGCTTTCTCTCGTTCTTTACAGTTGAGCTTCTTGAGCAAGGCTTCTGTTTTATGTAGTACACATTCTTGAAAAATCTGAACATCAGACACCTGAAAGCTGAGAATTAGAATTACATGTATTAAGGGGTCTTTATCCCCAGAAAGATGAGAAAATATTTAGATTTCTGATTATAGTTCCTGGGAATGCCGTAGTTTATAAAGCTGAAACTGGGCTAGGGATGTAACTCCGTTGGTAGAGTGTTTGTCTGGCAATGGTGAGGCCCTGGGTTTGAAACCAGGGGTGGTGGTACACTCAGTCTTCCTAGCATTTGGTAGGTAGAGGCAACAATTACATAGTGAATTTGAAGCCAGCTTAAGATACATGAGAACTTGTCTCAAGTGGAATTATCCATTCTCTGTTCTTTTTGTCTGTGCACGTGTTCATGCATGTGCACGCATGTAATCTTACTGATGCACATGTGAACATTCACATGCCAGCCAGATGTTAAGGTTGGGTTGTTGTGTGACACAACTTTTTCCTGGGGACACAACCACAACACATGTCTCTCCTCCCAGATAGGGGTCCCATGACAGACCGAAGCACAAATACCAACAAACTCCAACTTGGTGAAACAATGAGTTTTATTGCAGTTACTACAGGAACATGAGCAGAAATGACTCACAGACAGCTGCATCACCAAAGCCCACCCCAACATGGGTGACAGCTCACAGCGCTGGGAACCTGGAACACACTGCACAGCCTGCAGACAGCTCAACAGGTTGGAGAGCATCCTTCCCAGTGCCTCAGTTGGTCCAAACCTCTTCTAGGCAGCTTGACTGGTTTCTGCTTCTTTCAAGTAGTTCATCTGGTCTGAGAGTCTTTGCAACTTGGCTTTAGTTCTCTGAGAGGGACCCTCATATTTTATTGCTCACTCTTGCAGGGAGGGGTCTAGTAAATCTGCTCAGTTTCAGGGACTTCCTGAGGATGTTTTGAGTTGTCTACCTCCCTGCTTAAGGAGGTTCCTGCAGACTGGAATTTTGTTTTGTTTTGTTTTTTTGTTTGTTTGTTTGTTTTGGTTTTGGTTTTTCAAGACAGGGTTTTTCTGTGTAGCTCATACAGTCCGGACCTTGCTCTGTAGACCAGGCTGGCCTTGAGCTCACAGAGATCCACCTGCCTCTGCCTCCCGAGTGCTGGGATTAGAGGCATGTGCCACCACTGTCCAGCCAGCATGGAATTTTGTTTTGGGAGGAAACCGTTATGGAACCCAGGTGTCTTCTGAAATTGCTCTCCACAATGTTTTTTTGAGGCAGGGTCTCTCACTGTACCTGGAGCTAACTGATGTGGCTAGACTGGCTGGCCAGGGAACCTGAGGGACCCTTCTGTCTCTACCCTGGTCAGTGCAGGGACTACTGCTTAGTGATGTCACACCCTGTCGTTTTTCTATGGATGCTGGGGGTGGCCTCTTGAGTGCTGAACTCAGGTTCTCATGCTTTTGCAGCAAGTGCTGATGAAGATGACTTCACCATCTTCACAGCCTGCCCTTCTCAGTTTTTTGAGGGCCAGTCTTGAACAAACTCTGTAGCCAAGACTGGCTCTAGACTCCTGACCCTTCCTCCTCCACCTCTCAAGTACTGGAATTATTAGTGCTCTACCATGCCTGTATTTCTCTTGATTTTTTTTTCTTTCGGTTTTTTGAGACAAGGTTTGTCTGGGTACCCCTGGCTGTCCTGGAACTCAATCTGTACACCAGGCTGACCTCAGTCACAGGGATCTATCTGCCTGGCTGTGCCTCCCTAGCGCTGGGATTAAAGGCATGTGCCACCACACCCTGCCCTTCTCTTGATTTTTTTTTGAGACAGGGTTTTGCTATATATCCCTGGATAGCATTGAACTCATGGTAATTCATCCTCAGCCTCTTGGGTATGAGAATTATAGCTGTGCATCATCATGCCTAGCTAAATTGGTGCTTACATACACATGGGCATTAAACCCAGGGCTTCACACATGCTTGGCAAGCACTCTACCACTGAGCTGCAATCCCAGGCCCTCATTTCAGATTGCAGAAAGGTACTGGGACTGCACACGACTCCACTCATCTGTAAACCCACACTTTAGAGGCTGAGGGAAGAGAATTTCGGGTTCAAGGCCAGCCTGAGGTACACAGCGAGACCCTGTAGTGAGAACTACAAATGAGAAGGTGCTGGGGACTCGGAGTCCCCCAGATGACAAAAATCTCATTTCCAGCCTATGTCTTTGTCCCTGCTTCCTAGAGGAACCGAGGACTGTGGGTTTAAAGAGGATACGGACTCGCAGGCAAGCTCTATGCCTCAGGACTACAGTTCATCTTGAGGCTTTGGGTGGGGGCAAGGAGATTTGTTGCCCTGCCTCAGTTACACTCATACAGATACAAATGTCCACCCACAAATAAACATCTTTCCCTCCCAGGCTGTTCCCCTCAAATAATAGTAGAAATGCAGTCCAGTGTGTGTTGCCTTGAACTCATTCTTAGTCATAAAGCTAAATGCTATTTCTGTGTCCCAGCCAGGATCCGACATCTGATGTCCTCACCTCATGCTCACTCTTCAACCCACTATAAACTGCCACTCCTCTGAAGGTTCCTGGCAAAGATCACCAGACACCTCCTAATTGCAAAATCAAGGTGTTACTGTTCAGTATTTATCATCTCTGTTTGCCTCTGGCCAATCCTTACTACCTCTGCCATTAGGAGGCCAGTTTCCTCTGTCCATCTTTCATCACTTAGGAAAGTCATCCTTAACTCCTCCTTTCTCTTAGGCCATCTCCGCCTGGGTCCCCCCCCCCCCCCCCCCCCCCCCCCCGCCCCATCCAGTGACTCACCAAATCCTGTTGACTGTACATATCTCCTGATCCCTTCATCTCTTTTTCATTTGTTTTTAAAATTTTTATTTAAAATGTGTCTGTGTGAGCATGTGCCACCTGTGTGCAGATGCCCATGGAAGCCAGAAGAGGGCATCAGATCCCCTGGAGCTGGAATTACAGGCAGTTGTGAACCAATTGATGTGGGGGATGGGAACCTAATTTGGTCCTCTGGAAGAGCAGCAAGTGCTCTTAACCACTGAGCCATGTCTCCAGCCTATCTTTCCCATTCTGTTAAAAAAAAATAAATAATTGTGTGTGTGTGTGTGTGTGTGTGTGTGTGTGTGTAAGTGTAGGTACCTACAGAGTCTAGAAGAGGGTATCAGATCCCGGGGAGCTGGAGTTAAAGGCAGTTGTGAACCAGCTAATATGGATGCTGGGAACCGGACTCAAGTCCTCTGGAAGAGCAGCAAGTGCTTTTAACCACTGAGCCGTTTCTCCAGCCTCCATCTTTCCCATTCTCATGGCTCCTACTCTTTGTACAACAATCATTGGCTACTTATTTGTTTAGTTATTTGTGCTGTTGAGGGGATCCAAGGCCCCTTACTTTCGGGACAGCAACTACAGGCTTATTTTTAACTTTTTACTCATGTTTGGGTTTTTTTGCTTGTTTGGTTTTTTTTGTTTTGTTTTGTTTAGAGACAAGGTCTTAGTGTAGTTCAAACTGGTCTTGAACTGGCTATAGCTAAGGCTGGTCTGTAACTCCTGATTCTCCTGCACCTTCCAAGTGCTGGGATTACGGGAGTAAGACACCACACCCGGCTCCCACAGGCTTATTTTTGATGGACCTCCTCCAGTGTGTTAATGTAGTCTATTGGCTACTAGGATAACTAAAATATATTTCTCCATGCCACTCTGAGGTTTGGGTAATTTATGACATTGTATTTTAATCATCTTATACAAGTCTGTGTACTTCATCAGAGTGGGAACTCCCTGAGGGCAGGAACCCAATCCCATCCACTAGAACACCAGCTTGGGCGCGGCGGCAGCGGCACAGGTAAGGGATAGGTTTTCTGAGACACTGAACGATGAGCCTACTTTTCCACTTCATCCTTAATGGCTCAAACGCAGCTGGTTTACCGATCCCAGCTTCCTTGCAGTAGGTACCGGGAGCCACGTCTTGAAGCTGCAGCGAACCAGGGATTCTGATTTTATTTCAGTGGGGTTCCACTGCTGACCGGCTTCCCCTCTGCTCCTCTGCAACTGTGAACTAGGACAGACTTGATGAATGCACAGGAGGACCCTTAGGAGTCTTCTCTATCAATTCGACGTGTGCAATTTGAGCTGCTTAAACTCCTACCCTTCCGTGTTAGGTCTCTTTCCTCGAGTTCGGACGAGGCAGAGCAGGGGAAAACGTGAGAGCCACTTCTGGAGGGAAGGAGCCAAGGAATGAAGAATAGCAGAGGACGACGCACAGGCGACGCCGGAGAGCAGCCTTGCCAGCCAAGCTCGGGTTTCCCCATGGCCCCGCCTCCCTCGCGAAGCCCGACCCTCTCTGGGGCGGGACCTTCCCCTCCAGCCAATTCTGGGAGCCGAACCCTGGCGGTTTGTACTCTTTCTTTCCAATGAGAAAAAAAGGAAGCAGCTTGGCTCCAATGGCCAATCCGAGGAGGCGGCGCCTGGTTGTCAGGCAGGTTTGTAAGAGTTAGGGCCAATTGGAGGCGCAGCCACGGCTCGGCCCGGGCGCAGCGCGCAGGCGGTGGCGAAGAGACGCCGAGCGGGCCGAGTGCGGCCGAGCAGAGCCGGAGCCGGAGCGGGGCCGCAGGAGCCGGGCCGGGTGTGGACCGGCCGAGATGCCCTATAAACTGAAGAAGGATAAGGTGAGCGTGGCCTTTGCCCTTGCGCCTCCGCCGCGGGGCCTGCGCGGAGCTCTGGGAGGGGCCCGAGGCAGGCCCGGGACAGCCTCAGACTGACCCTCCGGTCCGGCCCCCCGCAGCACTCCCGGGCCCAGCCCCTGGGCCGCGCGGCTGGCAGCACCCCAGCCCGGGCAGCAGCTGGGACTGCTCTCCCTCTTTGCCCCGGACAGATTCCCCCCACCTATCTCTCTTCCCTTCCTCTTTGCTCCTACCCCTGGCCCCCTCCAGATCTGCTCCACTCCCAGCTCACTCCCTTGCCTTTTCTCCCCACCTTCCTCTGTCCCGATCCCCCACGGGTTTGGGACAGTCCTCATCTAAGACTGCATCTTCCTCCAGTACTCCCCCCACCCCCCGCCCCGTGCAGCCCCTTCCCTCCTCTCCTCACCAGCCTATAAACGGCCTCTCCACAGTTCTGTACAGTCCCTTCTCTCTCCACGACAAGCCCCTGACCTAGAACCGCTCTGCTTTTTCTCTCCTCCGCCCAAATCTGGCCTAGGCCCCTCCCTCGAGTCTTCCTTTACACACAAACTTGTAAGCCAGGACTGAGCCCTTCCTTCTGTTGATGGAACCCCAGAACGTTGGTGCTGGAAGGGAGCTTTTGAGCACATGCATTATAGTCTCTGGTGGTACAGATGAGGAGACTGAGGCCGAGTCAAGGGAAGGGACTTGTCCAAGGTCACACATCCTGCTGGAGGCCCAGCTGCAATATCAGGTCTCCCGACTTGGAGGGCTCTTCTGTGCCAGTGCCTAACTGCCATCAGCTGGCTTCCACGTTCACCCTAAACCAGACACCCTTTCTAATCTGCACAGGCTCCTCCCCTTATTCCTTAGGATAACCTTTGCATTTCCTTTCTTTGCACCAGTGCTGGGTTTCTCCCTTTCCTGAGTTATATTAAAGCAGGAATCTGCCCTGTTCTGTTTCGTTTTCTTCTTATTCTGCAGTCCAGGCACCCCTGGACATTCATACTTTGTCGTACTGTCCTTACACAGGCCATTTCTTTCTTACTTGCCTTGATAGAGATCCAGCCCGGGGTCTTGCACACGCTGAGCATGTGCAGCACCACTGAACTACACTCCCAGCCGCACAGGCCGTTGATTGATGTTGCCTTCTTTCACCTTCTTCTGTCTCCATACCGCCTTCACCTGTTCCTCATCCCTGCCGTTTCCTACCCTTTGTTTCCTGCTGTTGCTGAGATCTGACTCAGAGGTGTGGTTCCTCTGAGGTACAGACTTACCCAGGGATGCTAGGATACCAGTTGCAGCCTCCCCCGGCCTTTCTTCTCTCGGGGCTGGCTCTGGCCTGGTATTGTGGTCCACCCTCCTGAAGACCCCAGAGGCGGACTGCATTCATGTCTCCCGGTTGGCTTGCTATGCTACCACCCCACCTTATCAGTCAAACTCTTTATCCTGGGGCTCTTGGGTATTTTCCAGGTAGCAGGGATTATGGGTTGTCATCATAACTTCTCAGAGTCTGAGATTAGAGCACAGGACTGAGATATATATATATATCTCCAGCATATACTAGTTGCTGAACCTCTTAAAGGTGGTGAGCTGAGCAGAGTTGTGTCCCCTACCCAGTGCTGACCTTGGGAGTAGGCTTGCCAGTACAGTTTGGGCCATTCCCCTGTAGAAACTGCACACTCCAGATAGCTAAACTGGAAACTTGAGAGGTTGTGGTGTTCAGAGGAAGCGTTGAGATCCTTACCCCTCTGTAGTCTTTAGTCTGTGGACCAGATCCTGTCCCGTCTGCAGAAAGCCTTTGCCTACTGGATAATTGAGAATTAGAGGAGACACTCTTAGCTTCCTGGGGCCATCAGTGATCTGGTTGAGCAAGGGTATTGGGAGGATTGGGATGCATGGAAGCAGGTGTGGAACTCTTTATGAGACTTAACCTCCTGTACTGGAGTTTGGGCTGCATTTGGCCTCCTTAAAGTTCTGAGGGGGAGAGAGATGACAGTGTGACGGAGCTGTACCAGGATGGAGGCATAAAGACAGGTGGGTGGAGGCTCCTTATTGCTCATCCATCACCTGTCCCTTCTCCTTTATCTCCGCTGGTCCCTGTCCTCACTGTCCTTCACTGCTCCCTCTGTGAATCTTGGCTGAGCCTTCACTTGGGCCCACTTACAGACTTCATGTGTTCAGCCTTGGGTGCGAATGGATTGTGGACAACCCTTGTCTTCCTCCTTGAGGAAGTAACTAAACTCTGTGGAGGTTTGGCATCCCCTTACACACAGTAGGTAGGTGCTGAGTCAGTCTTCGGGGAGATTTGCATCCTTCTCTTCTGAGAATCGATTTAGGTCTTTGATTTTCCTGCATGAAGTACCCTGCTCCTTCCCGCTTTCTTATTCGTAATAACAGAATTAACCAACATTAGGGTTTGATGTGCCAGACACTGGGCTAAGGGAAGTGGTCCTATTATTGTTTTTGTTTAATAGGTGAGAACAGGGGGAGGCTAGTTACCTCCTCACTCTCACAGAACTGGTAAAAGTTGAGCTCAAAACACAGTGCTAGCCCTAAACCCCAGGGCCTCACGTCATGCGACAGCTGGGCCGGGCCACAGTGTGTGTGCTTCACCTGCTCTTGAGGAGACAGGGAGCAAGGCTTGTGGGCCCCGTTCCCCTACACCCACTCACACCCACACATCAAGGCAGCTGACATCAGGCAAATTCCCTGAGATATGTTTCTCAGGCGTCGTGCTGAGTGCCATAAGGTGGGTGGAGGGGACAAGAAAAGTAAGCAGCTTATGATGGAGTCTAGAGATCAGCCTGGAGTGAAGATGGGTCAGCTCTGTTGGAGGGCTCGTGTCTGTTGTGTGCTTTCAGTCACTTTGGTGGTGTGTGCTGCATCTTTTTTTCTCCACCACTTGCTGTGAGCAATTGACAAGTCAGTGTGGCCGGCCTGGTCAGTGCAGTGGGAGAGTGCTCAGCCCAGAGAAGCCCCTTCCCCCTTGTACAGAGCATCGAGCTGCTCCCCATCCGAGAGAGAGAACGGTTTTCCCTCTCCACCCCCAGAAAGCCTTCCCCCTGTTCCAGCCCACACATAACTCTCTTCTCCCTGGGATCCGTTTGCCCCCATAGTCACAATCATTTGATTTAACACTTCTTACTGAAGGGGCTTGGCTGCTGTTGAATTGCAGACTCTCAGAGCTGGAAGTGATTTCCAAGGTCCTCCAATCCAGCTCTCAGCTGAGACTTGAATCCTTTTGCAACATGCCTTAGAGGAGGTCATCCAGCCTCTGCTCAAATGCTCAGGACCGGGAGCTTTTAGCTTCACTGGGCAGTCTGTTTCCATACAACTCCACCGTGAGAAAATCCATCCTTGTTGGCCTCAGCCTATGCTCTTTCAGTGCCCTGAGTCCATGAGGATAAGTTGTATCTTTAGTGCACATGGCAGCCCTTCCTCTGCGGGCTAAGCTTCATCTTGCCCCCCCTCCTCCCTTCTCTTGTCTACTCTCCCGGTCCTGCAGCTGTTGCATTTGAGGCTGAGCTTTTGCATACACTGCCAGAATGGGCTGCATTTCCCTTTACAAGTAAGGATTTCTTATTGCCCCTTCCACGGGCTCGTGCTCATGACTAAACCAGACCCACTAGCTTGGTTCTATCGGGGCCAAGCACAGACATAGGTCTGTTAAGTGGGTGGAAGTTCCCAAGACTTGTAGTGGATGCCACAGCATTGATTTGTGTTCAACTTGCAGTCAGAGCTGCATCCTCAGGTCTCTTTCACAGTCTCCCCATCCTGTCCCTGTGTGGCTGCTTTTGTTTTGGTCCAGAGCATAGAAAGAGATGCTGGACAGGCCAGGGCTCTGAGCCAGTTGCCAGGTTCCCAAGGGAACCTTTAGATTGGTGCTCACAGTTTGTTAACAATTCAGGACTTCACCTCCATCTCTAGTCCACTGCTTGTTGCCCGAGACGCTCTTAACATTTCAGGCGGAACTCTTCTGATCCATTAGCACCCTGTTAGAGACTCTAGCACCCTCTTGTTTGGGTGCTGCTTCTGACATCTAAACAAATGCCTCAGGGTCTTTCTGGATGGCCCTGAGGGGAGAGAGATGATTTCTGCTGTGCTCTAGCACAGAAGCCGTTGGCACCTCTGACCAGGTTGCCCAGAAGCCAGTCAGAGTAACTGAGGAACAGTTACTGTTACTGATGCTATTCCAGGAAGCCGCCTCCCCAGGTCTTTTCCTGACTAGAGCTTCCTGAGCCCAGCCGTTCACTACCTGGTGAGGAGACAGATGAAGACTACTGTCATGCTTAATTATTAGATTGAAGTTGGCTTCCTAACTAGAATCTAAACTCCTTGGAGGGGCTGAATCTCCTTTGTGTGTCCCGGGGTCGATACAGTAGGATTTTTTATTTATTTTTGGTTTTTCGAAATATGGTTTCTCTGTGTAGCTCTGGGTGTCCAGGAACTTGCTCAATAGACCAGGCTGACTTCGAACTCAGATATCTACCTGCCTCTGCCTCCTGAGTTCTGGGAGGAAAGGCGTGCACCACCATGCCCAGCTGATACAGTAGGTTTTAACTGAATCAGTTGGGCGGTGCGTAGTTAAAACAAAGACCTAGGAAGGGCTTGGACATATAGCTCAGTGGTAGAGCATTTGCCTAGCATAGACAAGGCCCCTGGTTTGATCTCCATCTTCTCCCAGCAGGAACCTCCCAAGCTTGCCAAAGGCACAGCCAAGCCCAGCAGCTCGAGCAAAGATGGTGGAGGAGAGAACACAGACGAGGTAAGGATGTAGCCATGGCCCTGGTTCCGTGCAGGTGCTGGCCACAGCTCCTTGACGGCTGGGGCACGGGTCTGAGGGGCAGTTACACAGGCAGAGGCTCCTGCAGCCAGGATGGGAGGCAGGTCTCTCTGCTTTGGGGCAGCATTTGGCTGGTATAGAACAAATAAGTACTCTAATTCTTTCAAATTCCTTAGAGTCCCGTGGAAGGTGTTCCTGCCTGCCACTTTCTGGTGTTGACAGCTCCTTCTCAGTGGTTAGGGGTATGGCCAGTAGTGGAGCCCAGGCTTAGTATGATTAAGACCTTGGGTTTAATTTCCAGCATGCTCAAGTGTGTTGCGCAGATGTCTTTCTTAGGGTAAAAACCATTGAACGATGTGAGGTCTGCTTATGCGTGCCTGTAAACTCATCATTTGGGGAGCTGGGGATCACAAGTTTGGGGCCAGCCTGTGTGATGTAGCAAGACCCTGACTCAAAAAGGGGTGGGGTGGGGTGCTGAGAGGTTTGTGGTCCTGGTGAAAAGGGGGAAAGTCTACAAGTGCCTCGCGGGATGACAAGTCACTTTGGTATGGAGCTGGGTGGGGCAGGGGCTCGGGAGTGGCTAGTGTCCCTGAGTTGGGCAGGGCTGGGCCCACTGCTCTTGGTCTCAGTGTGACCAAAGGACAGTCATGAACAGAGGTCAACACAGCTCGGCAGTCTAGGGCTATAAAGCAATAAACAGGCAAACAAGACAGCCAGAGTCGAGGGGCTTGGGGAAGTTCAGGGGTGTCCTTGAACATCTGGGGTGCAGTCGGTGGGGTGCTCTGTTTGCCGAGCAGCCTTGTGAATGTGTGGGAGCTGTCGTTCTCCCTGCTTTCCCCGCTCTTTCCCTCTCTAGACTGTTCAGGAGGCCGAAGTCTCAGTTACTTCCCTGAGAAGGAGATTGACAAGTGTTTGTGGTTAAGTCTGGGTTTAGATTTTCCAGGCTACTTGTCCCTGTCCCTCTAAAGAGAGCCAGTTAATGTTTGCATTGGTGACCACTCTTGTAGGAGCCGCAAAGTCATCGGGAGAGTAGACTAGGTTTCCTGCCCGATTTGCAGCCCCGGGCAGTTAAAGACCACAACAGAGTGATGACTCCTTCTCTGCACTTCACAGGAGTCCGCACAGTCTTTGGACTGGTCCTTGTCACCAGACGTTGTGACCATTTGTTCCCATCACGGTCTTCCCACCTGGCTGTGAACTGAGGGAAAAGCTGTATGGTGCTGTATGGCTTCCCCTCACGCCTGTGCACTCAGTGTGGGTCATACCAAATGTGTCTGGGGCCAGATGTGTCTGGGACACACCCTCAGGGCTCATTCTCCCCTTCAGAGGTGATATCGATGGGACCCACTGGGAAAGTAATTGAGAGTTAGTGAGCAGTGTTAAAAACAGCAGGAGAGACTCAGAGCCAGGACATAAAGGAAGAGGACACTCCAAGCCCTCCCTCCTCTGCCTCGCTAACATTCTTCCAGTTCTTAGGCCCCCTGCTTATTATCTGCTTAGGGTGGCCGGCCTTGACCACTTCCCTCCATCCCCAGGGCATGGCCCTGTGAGTTACGGTTTTGTCCCTCAGCCCCTTGGTTGCACTTCACAACAGTGTCAAATAGTTCTGTGAACTCACTGTTTCCTAGTCTGGGAGCTTCAGGAGGCTCTCACTTGCCTGGCCCGGTGTGAGCACCCACATATGAGTGTAGTAGTCAGTGGAGGTGTGAACTGGGGAGTGAGTGAGACCTCACTCTCTACATGGGGAAATGAAGGCCTGGTGAAGTGAGGACTGTGCTGAGGCCGACTGCCATGATGTCTCCAGGTCTTTAGGAGGCTCTGCTCAGGGAGGTGGCGTCTGTCTTAGTCCCTCTAGATGTCAAGTTCACCCTGGGCTCTATTTTATGTAAAGTCTCCAGGGCTTGTCTATGTGAGGTAGCCGCAGGCATTTACTTTATGATTTTTCAGAAGGTACTCTTGTACAGATGTTAGAGACATGCTGGGAAAATTGAAGGCCAAGTTGGGAGGTCGTGGCCTGTTTTTAATGTGTTTTTGATTTTTATGTGTGTGGATGTTTTGTCTACATGTATGTCGTGTACCATGGGCATGCCTGGTATCTGTGGAGGCCAGAAGAGGGGCATCAGATTCCCCCAATGTGAGTTACAGGTGGTTGTGAGCTACCATGTAGGTGCTGGGCATCAAACCTGGTTCCACTGGAGCAGTGCTCTAAAGTGCTGTCTCGTCTCTCCGGCCCTGAGGTATGGTTTTAAAATACTATTCACCATGTCTTTCCTTGCTCCTTTTCTAGTGTAGAATTTGGAGTTCCTCTGGCCAAACTCTGTTAAACATTTACTGGAGTGTTTTTCAATTAATCCTAATAATTATAGCAGCTAACATTTACTTTATTGAGAAGTTATTCTGTATTAGTTTTTCAAAGCAGCCAAAACAGATTCCCATACACCAGGACAGCAGAAGTGAATTTCCCTACAGTTATGAAGGCTAGAAGTCTGAAGTCAGGGTAGCATAACAGACATGACCTGAGATCTTTTTTAAATTATTTTAAATTTCTGTGTGGATATGTGCACATGTGTGTGCAGGTACCCACAGAGTCCAGAAGGAAGTATTGGATCCCTGTGGTATCCCCTGGAGCTGGAGTTACAAGCTGTCCTGAGCTGCCTGACATGGCTGCTGGGAACTGGACTCTGGTTCCTCTGCAAGCGCGTCAGAGACATCTTCCAGCTTCTGAGGGTTACTTTTATTGAAAAATTGGGGACAGGATGGTTGTGCTCACTGTAATCCCAGCACCTGGGAGGCTGGGGCAGGCAGATCTCTGTGAGTTGAAGGCCAGCCTGGTCTGCAGTTTTGAGACCATGTCTCAGATTTTGACACACTACCTTTATTTGTTTGTTTGTTTTTGTTTAGTGATTGTGAGTGTGCCAGGATGTACCGGTGGAGGTCAGAGGCTGGTTCTCCATCCACCACGTAGACTTGGGGATTGAACTGAGGTCCTTTACCCACTGAGCCATGTCATTGTGCTCTTTTATTTAAATTTAAATGTTTTCAATTTATTTAATTTTTGTGTATGTATGTGTGTGGTGTGTACAATATGTATATATATGTGTGTTCACATGTGTGGAGGTACATGAGTCTGTGCACATTCGTTAGAAGCTTGAGGCTGACATCAGATGTCCTCTCAGCTGCTCCCAGTCTTAATTTTGATGTCTTATTCAATCTCTGTGGACCTTGTATGTTGAGGTATGTTCTCTCTGAACCTAGAGATGGCCATTTTGAAACTAGTCAGACTAGCCAGCTTGCCCCAGGGCAGAGGTTCTCAACCAGTGGATCTTGACCCCCTTGGGGTCAAACTACCCTTTCACAGGATCTCATATCGAATATCCAGCATATTATATATTTACATTAGGACTCTTAACAGTAGCAAAATTACAGTTATGAAGTAGCAACAAAATCATTTTATGGTTGGGAGTCACCCAACATGAGGAGCTGTATTAAATGGTCACAGTGTCAGGAAGGGTGAGAACCACTGATCTAGGGATTCTGTCTCTACTTCTGGTTCCTGGGATTGCAGGTGTGCTGCCGTGCTGCCTGGCTTTTACGTGGGTCCTGGGGATCCAAAACTGTTCACCCGATTACATAGAGGCACATTACTCTGCAAGCCGTCGCCCCAGTCCTGTCTGCAGGTTCTAGGGACAGGTTAGTTCTGAGCCTCCCTGCTGGCTTTCCACAGCCCTGTGTCGTCTCTCTCTCTGAATTTCCCTCTTAGCAGGACACCAGTCATCAGGGACATCCTATGGAACCCAGTAATGTCCATTTTCACTTGATTATGTGTATCTGTAAGGTCACATTCAAAGACGCAGAGTGGACACAGATTTGGATGGGACACTGCTCAGTCAGCATGTTGTACCAGTCACTCCCTAATGCTTTGCATGGACATTTAACTGTCACTGCGTTCCCCTAGGATCTTTCTCTTGTCACCCCATTTTACAGATGGACTGGAGGCTCAGAGTGAACAGCATCACTCCGTGGATAAATGGCAGAGCTGGGATTCATAGGCTAAATAAAGTATTGTCTCTGAGATTCTAAAAGAGGATCCTAGGGTGGAAAATGACTTTGAGAGGTCAAATGAGACTCACTGTGTCCTGCTTCTGCATTTGAGGATCTTCTCTGGTCTGACTTTGGAAAAAATGGACTCTTTAGTACACTGCTGTCTTGAGTTCTGGATGTAGGGATGAGGGGAGGAAGAAACAGCCCAGTCTCCCCAACTTCAGCTCCAAGGCCACAGTAGGCATCCTCAAACCTTTTTGGTTTATAGTCTTCTCCTTTTTTCTTTCCAGTACTGGGGACTGAACCCGGGGTGTCACTCAAGCAAAGCATGTATGTGTTCTACCACTGAACTTCAAAACTAATTTGAGGTGGGTGTGGTGTCCCGCAACAATAATCCCGGCACTCCGGATGAGGAGGCAGGCGGAGCTGTCTGAGTTTGAGGCCAGCCTGATCTACATTGTGTGTTCCAGGCTAGCCAGGGCTACATAGAGAGACTCTGTCTCAAAACAAAACAAAATAAAAACAAAAAACCCACCAAAGTCGAATCTGAGCCAGTGTGCTCATTCGTGCCTGTATCCCAAGCACTTGGAAGGTGGAGGCAGGATGAAAGTTGTGAATTCAAAGCTAGCCTCGGCTACACATTAAGATCCAGTCCAGCTTGGGCTGTAGTGTGGGAACCTGTTTTAAAACAACATAAAATTATTTTGGAATCTCCCACAGTTAAAATCCAGCATCCACAGCGATTCTGAGCTGGCCTCACTCTGTTCTTCTAGCATCTCCCCTGGTCACTGTCCCCGTGGAAGTCATCTGAACCAGCAAGCCTCCCTGTAATGTGGCCTCCTGCATGCAGTTCCACTGTTCTGGACTTGCTTTATTGTCCTCTCTTCTTCTTTGCTACTAAACTCACATCCTTTAAGAGCTAAATCAAAACTCACCCCTTT